AAAAGAATCAAAATAATCAAAATTGAAATTGTCGGTTTGGTTTTCAGTTATTTCGGTTAAAACCAAATTTTAATAATATATACTTTATTATATATTATAATATATAACATATATTATATATTATGAAATCAACTTTTATCATATTATATATTAATATATAAATATATAATATATTATATACATATTATATATTATATCTTACATATTATACATTATATATTAAATATAATAATAGAAAGTTCGGTTAACTCGATTAATTGAATTTCTAATTTTAAAAACCGAATTAGTCAAAAACCAAATTAACCAGACCAATTTAACCAAAAAAAACAAAAAACTGAACCAAACAAACCAAAACCAAAATTTTCGATTTAGTTTTAACCGAATAGTGCTCACCCCTAAATCCAAGTGCAGTAGTGATCCAATCCAATTTAAGGTGGATATTTACCTAAGTGGCTATAATCCTAACCAATTTAATCAATTTATTGGTTTCATACCTTTTCACAAATAAAAATAGAAAAAAAAATCTATTTGATTCATATGCTTTTTAAGCCTGAATTGGAATCATATGATTTGAACAAGTCCAAAACTAAACAAACATATACCCACATTGGTCTGCACCTCTCTCCCTAGCTCCCTCCTCTATTATGATCCCGGGTAGGACGTAACTTGGATTCGTCTGCATCTAGGGAAATAAAGACCTCCAAGAGATAAAAATCTCAATTATAAAGGATAATTTTCATAATAATTTAATTAAGAGGAGAATTACAATTTAAACAGACTTTGGGAGAATAATTTATCAGTTCAGCTCAGAATTTTCATATTAATAGACTTTGGGGGGTTATTAGTAGACTGGAGGGCTGTAATTCAGAATTCTGCATTGGGCTGCAGTTAGGGGTGGATTCGAGCTGAGTCGAGCCGAATAGTACGAGGCTCGAACTCAATTCGAGCCAAAAACTCATAAGCTCAAGCTCGACTCGGCTCGACTCGAGTTCAATTTGAGAAAAAATATTTTATAAAAATAAAAAATTATATATACAAATATTTTTTATTTGACATTTAAAAAATTAAGAATTATAATATATATTCGGGCTCGATTCATTTATTAATTGAACCTATAAATTGGGGTCAAACTCGACTCGAAGCTTAGCTGAAGCCAAGCCAAGCCGAGCTTTTCACGAGTCGAGCTCGAATAGCTCATGAAGAACTCGGCTCATGACCACCCCTAGCTGCAGTGTACTTAACCCATAGACTTTTGAGCGGTACCAGACTTTTAAAGACTTGATCTCGACTATGACCCACGTATTCCACTTAATGCAACCACTTTCTACATAACTACCAACACGGACCCCACAAGACAATGCGAATGCAATACATGTATTTATATGTACTCTAATTGACTCAAGTAAGGCAATTCTATGTATTTGTAGCAATTTCTTGAATGAATGAAATCATATTTTAACCTTCAAAAAATATAAAACAAAAACACTTATATTTAAAGATTTCAACTAACAAACCTTTTATTCTCTTCCTAATACCTAGATAGTTGAGCCCACTAATGGATATGTGGCATTTCTCTGTTATGATTGCCTTGAGAAGCTTGTCCCCTACCCCTCCCTTGACCCCTGTTTTGGGTAGCTATTTTGGATCAAACCAACAGATTTGGCAAATTTCAAGTGAAAATCATACCCCCCTCATCCATCTCTATTCGATTATGATATGGAAAAGATATGACATCGAAAAAACAACTGACCAAAAAACTGAAATCATAAATATAGTAGCAAATAAGGTATTATTTATCAAAATTTATGAATGAATTTTATTGCTCAAAACTCTTTCCATGTCATATCTTTTCTGCATCATAGATTTTCCCATTTAAACCACACGTAAAACTTAATTTAAATAATAATTCCAACTAATTACAACCATTTACCACATTAAACTCCTAACACGTAACAAACTAATAAGCAACCACATAACTTACTACTAACTCATTATTCTCCAAACGACTACTACCATATCATGCATTGCTCCACGTTACCCTCTTCTCATCCTTTGATCTCCACGTGTATATAACACACTCTCTCTCTCCTTCTCTCTCTCTAAACATTGCATAAATTACATTTTTATTTCCATTACTGATGTATCTTTTTTCACTACGGATGCAAGAGAAGAGACTGCTGCAACCCACTGTTTTGAAAATCAGACCAGACCAGATGGTTGAACCGTTTGATTTGGGAATTGGTTATATTTTTTGGTCTGATTTTGGATTGGATCATTTAAAAAAAAAAGAAAACGTTAAATTGGTTAGAGAACCATTGATTTGAATAGTCAAATAAAAAATTATTTGACCCAAGCAGGGTACAGTTCAATAAAAATATTATTTATTTATTTTTAGATTATTAGCAAAAGAATAGGAGATTGAGAGAAGGGGGAGGGACTGAAACAATATCTTAGATCTGAGATCTATGTGTGTGTGTGAGAGAGAGAGAAAGGGAGAGAAAGAGGTCTTAGATCTGAGATCAAAGAAAGAGAGAGATCTAAAAGGACTAGGGAGAAATGTCATTGTTGCCACCATCATCATTGCTGATGAACGTCGTGGCTTCTTCCTCTTCCTTCTTCCTTTCTTTCTTTCCTTCTCCCCTTCCTTTCTATCTTTCATTTTTCTCTTTCCTTTTTTCTATCTTTCTTATTCTTTGTTGTTTACTCAGTCTACAGCTACCTACCTCTCTATTTTCTCATAAAAGAAGAGATATAAATATATATTTCTACTCTAATAATAGTTCAATTTAAGGGTCAAACCGTTCAAACCGTTCAACTCAAATGATCAAACCGTTGATACAAAAACTAGTGGTCAAAATGGTCGGTTTTTAAACCTTACTGCAACTAGTCTCTCCCCATATTGAAGGTGCCCTCCATTAACGAGAATTACTATTATGCCCATCACCGATTGTGTTCCTATGTACATGCACACTTTAAACCTCTCAAGCATACACCCTGTGCACATCATCAACAAAGCTTGGTTCCAAAGTTCTGTTAAGTGCCCATTACGGGCCCATGGGGAGGTCAATTAGGTAAATAAGCCCTCGTTTAGGAGAGCTTATTTTTAAGCATTTATTAGAAAAAAGTGCGTATTTTAGACTAGGATTATACCAATAAGCACTTACATCATTACATGCGTAAGAAATAAGCCCAAATAAGCGTTTTTTTTTTCAGAAAATAAGTCCATTTTGAATAAATTAAAAATTTGGCTTTTTTTTCAAGGGTTTATTTTGAAAAAGTGCTTATTGCATTTTTATTTGTCTTGATCCACCTCCATCACATGATTTTCAAAATACCCATACTACTCCCTTTTAAGAAAGTGCTTTTTCACCAAAACTCATAAGTGCTTATTATGAATTACATCAATAAGTACTCCTAAACAGGGGTTAAAAGAAGAGTTAGTTAGTAAATATATGGGTTCGACTATGATATGGAAAAGATATGATATCTGAAAATTTTCTGACCAGTAGGTGTTATTTATCAAAATTCATGAATGAGTTTTGATTGATCAAAACTCTTCCCATACCATATCCTTTCTGCATCATAGATTTTCCCGTGGATACATATATTATATGTTTAATTAACATTGTGTTGGGCCATGTATGGGATAGGTGCCACATAAGACAGTTCAAGTAGTGGACTTTGCTCTTATCATGAGAAGCTATTGAGATAGTATTTCATGTAACAAATGAATTCTTGAATCCAAGTTAGAGTCAAGGAGTGGTCAGTTAGTTGAGAGATTTTGAGAGGTGAATTCTAAAGTCAGTTCCTGCACTGCAAACAAATAAAGTTGAAGGGTGAGTTGATAAGCCAAAGGGTGCGACATTTCACATTCATTTTTCTTGGAGAGGAAAATTTGCGATCTTATGCATAAAAAAGCAATGAAAGAAGAGAATAAAGTCCAAAGACTTTTTTTTTTTTTTTCTGATCTTAACAAGAGCTTGGTAGATGTTGATTAATTGAGGAATTGAGGAATCTAATCAACAATTGCAACCCAAATTGAGTAAAACAGTCCTCCATCCTTGTGCCATTTTGGCTCCACAAGGATGTCTATTTTAGGGTGCACCCTATTGTGTTGGGGTTGGGTCAATCTTAATTGAATTTTAGATTGGGTTTGGGTTGAGGTTGGCCTTGACTGAGTACAGAGGTTCCATTAATTTGTGGGACCGATTGGGTTGGGTTAGAGTGACTTGAATGGGTTTGGTTGAGACCAAAAACGATGAAGGAGGTACTGAATTTAAATTGATTAACTATTGGTTCCACCTATCTCTTCTTCTCATTCTTGTGCTTGAATGGGTTCCTCTAGGTTAGACTGGGGGTTCTTCCTTATTAGGCCCAAGTCATTGGGTCATGGGCACCTTGGCTCCATTGAACCTAGTAAACCTCTCGAATTCCTTGGGAATATTTCTTAAGTATTATGGAAACTTCCCAAAAAAAAATGAAGAGCTGTTTGGCATGTCTTTTTGGTGTGTCTTTTCATCTACAGAAAGCTCAAAAGACTAAAAAAGTAGTATTTTTTCGTTTGTTATCACATAGACTGAAAGACACGAAGACAAGCGCACAGAAAGGCCAAAAAAAGCCAAAAATTAGAAAGCTTTAAATGAAGCTTTTGATATTTTCACGCTGTTTTAACAACTTAGTAGACCATGACGCAAACCAGATGGTCTTGCTCTTTAAAAACAAAATCCCAAAAGTTCAGTATGTCTTCTTGTCTATTAGGCTATTGAAAAATCTATCTAGAAAGACTTGCCAAAGAGCCTCTGAATTTAGTACACCTTTCTATTTTTTGTTGAATCCTAATTAGGCAGATTCATTAATGAGAGCTCAAAACACAGTCCTTATGGATATAGAAAAGAAAGAATGACACAGTGAGAAACCTCATTTGCAGATGGAGGCACAAATTGTGGAGTAAGGATTAGTTGAATGCAACCATAGGACCCACAACAATTTAATTTCAGCGCCTATTGGGGATTCCATCTAAGGAAGCTCCCCAACACATCTCGAATAATAACTAGTGCATCCCCTTCAAATATGACAAAGCGCAAATTCAACTGCTTAACGAGCTCCATAGCTTCCCATAGAGCCATTGCTTCTGTCTCTGCTGCAGATAAAGGTGAGAAGACTTTGCTCGACCATAAAACAATTCCAATGGCTGAACCAGATGAGGAAGTTGCACCATCAAAGTTTCCTTTCTAGGTCGATGCCACAATGGAGGCAAATAGGACGGATGATGGATGGCAAACAGAATTGAACATTTATCCTTTTATTGGCAAAGGAGTGCAGTATACCTCCCTTTTATTACCAATGGACTACTTAGGGCTGTAATTGGATGGGGTTTGGATCAGAATAAGTAAAATTCAAATTCCATTATTGAAAACTTACATCCGAATTCAATCTAAAATTTGATCGGATTTGAAGACTTATGATTCGAAATAGACTCGGATCAGATTCAGATTTAATCCGACTTTGCTTCAATTTTTTTAAATACAAAAAAAATAAAAAATTAATTACTTTCCAACTTTTATATATAATAAATTAATATAAATTTAACATACTGAATTTATTATATATATAAATTCATATATAATATAATATATAAAATATTATATATATATATATATATAAATTTATATATAATATAATTTTAATTGCAAAATCTTAATATGATCCAATTACATAAATACATCATCCAAACTCAAAATAATTGAATCGGGCCATAGATTTTCGGATATATCATTGACATGTAATAGACTTCTCTTTTATTTAATCTTCTATTTAATGAAGCCTAAGCTGCTTGATCAAATTGATGCCAATGTGTATCATTAATGTAGCATAGAACTATAGACTATAGAGACAAATAGAAATGAATAATAAAAAAGACAGATGAAATTAGGTACAGTGTAAATGAATTGTGAACGGCTAATGGTTATCCAAGCAGTGATTTCTAGGGCTCCATATGTAAGGGTTTGTGGGGTTTGTATAGGATCCAAAATGGATAAGCAGGTTATCTGAGACTGGTTGGGGTATATTTAGTTTAACAAAAAATAAGAGAGAAAATTATTAAGGACATTGGTGAAAGTCCTTAGGTTCTGTTTGTTTGTGATGCAAATCTAAACCAAAAACAAATTTCACACCCAGTGCAATTTTCTATCCATTTGTTTGTAAGTTGTAACTATGATTTTGAACTCGTACTTGATATAAAACTTGTACATTTTGTCTCATTTCTACTCACTAGTAGTGCAAACTTTGTTTCCCAAAAACTGATGCAAAATTTGCACTATCCTCTTCCTACCTCAATTCTTAGGGACCGTACATTTCCTACCTAACTTCAAAACAAATAACCCTCTACCTAACTCCATTCTCTTTCATATAAGGAAGGGTACCATATCATTTTACTTCTCAAACAAATAAGACAAAGTCAAACTTGATGTAAAAGTAAATCAAAATTTGCACAGCCTATTTGCACTACCATGCAAACAAATTGAGCCTTGTGCTTTCCCTCAACTTTATATTTATATTTACAAATGAAACACAGTTTAAGATCTAAGGTTGTGTTTGGTACCACTTCTATTTCTACCTAAAATGTTTTGGTGGTTTATCAATACAAATTGGTGAGATATATATATTGTCACATCACTGTGAGAGTTATGTATTGGTACCATGCATTGCTATTTCTACCAAGTGCTTCACGTGAAATCTAGAATACATTAAACCAAACACAGCCTAAAAATTCCTTAACATGAGAAAATGAAGTCCATATGTTTAATAGCTTAAGAAGTAATGGACTAGTTTTTTTCTCACAAAACCTTAAAATGTAGAACTGCAAATCAGTTCCAGTTGGTTTGGGGACAGCAAGATATATCAACAATTCCAGACAAAGGCAGTCTCTATCTCAAAAATGCATTAATATCATGTTGTTACAATTGTTAGCAGCTGACTGTGTAATTGCATTGATGAACAAAAACAAAGAGAAATTAAAACACTGGAAATGAGAAAAGCATATATATAGACCATCTAGATCCTATTTGAGTTATGACCTGCTAACAGCCAACGACTATGAAGACCTACCCAAGAAGGCTGTCAAATGTTTGAAGGTGGATTCATCACAAGGTAGAACAATTCCCATTGGATTATCAAACCCATATTCCTCTGCAGCTTTCTCGAGCAATTGCTGGAAGCTGGGATTCTTCAGGTATGATGTGGGAACAATAAATCTCTTTCTTGTACTACCCACATAGACGACAAAGTGGCCCTTTGGAGCTCTTTTCCTCTCTTCTTCTGCTTGTTTCCTTCGCATTTTTGGAAGAATGGGATTCTTCTGAAAGACCAGAAAAAAAGAAGAGAGAGATGGTGAGGAGAATGATGATGGTGTTTTGGACTGAAAGGGATATCATCTTTATATATAATGAAGTTGGAGAACGTATCTTCCATCTCAAATTGGGAGATAAGGACAGAGATGGGTGTTGGGAGTAAAACAACATGGGGATAACGTGGAATGAAAAATCCCAATTGCACAATACAGAGAGAGAGAGAGAGGGAGTTCCAATTAGGCCATGTTTGGCCAGTGATTATCATCCAATGGGTTTTCTGCGTCTTTCCACGTTGGGGAAACAAAAAGCCAGTCAAAAACTGTTTGGTTTTGTATATATATATATATATATATGTATAAAAAAAAGTCCATTTGATATCATGGGAAAAAACTCCCTTTTAGCTTTTAATCACTTCTCAAAAGTGGTTTTTTCTAGAAATTCATTTAAGCTAAAAAGAACTCCCAAACACGACCTAATTAATTAATGTACTTGACATACGTGGGGTATATGTATATGTTATTGTGGGCTTGGGCTGCACATGGCATCAGTTCAAATTTGCACAATTAAATCAATCAAAGACTTCACAAAACGAGAATGAATTGAATGTTTTAGTCTTCCATCTTCCCACGAGAATGACATGCGGAAATAATTGTGGAAGAGTCCTCGTTTCCTGAAACAGCTCCTTCATTGTCGCCGTATGGTACATAGAGTGATTTGGCATATTGATGTAACGGATAAAAGTTTGTACATGGGGCAGTTGAACCAGAAAATACTATGGGCCCCCATGGGCCAAGAGGCATCTTGTAAACCTCTCAAAATAATGGGCAAATACATTTGGACAATGGAAAAAGTTTTATATTACTGTCTTTAAGGCGCCCTTCACTTTTTGGTAAGTTATTTACTCAAGTAAATACAATTATTTAGTTAAGTTTTTCTTGGGAAATACTTATCCAGGTAAGTGTATTTATTCATATTTTTTATTTCTTAAGTAAAAAAAGGAAATGACCATTTTAGTCATAAAAATCAATTATTAAAAAGGGTATTTTTGTCTCATTCAAGTGTTTGAAACTTTTTCCCAAGGTGGGAAAGTTATTTACCCACCTAGAAGATGTGTATCACTTACTCGGGTAAGTGATACCTAGAAAAATAAACTTTCCCTGATCTCCACATTAATCTGAAAAAAAAAAACATAGGATTCTTAGTCAATGGAAACCAAAATCCCATTGACCTACTTCCCCCCTCTCAAAATCTAAAAAACATGTTTCCATCTTTTTCTTAACCCTTAAATTTACTCCAGGCAGGCAGTTGTGGATGGTCGAACATAGCCTCCCTTGCCCCGCAATCCAAATACAAAGCATACTTCCTCACCATCTCAAATGCAAAGAGCAGGAAGCCTTCAATAGTCTCCTTGACAAATTGGATTTCCTGCCTACTACTCTCTACCCACACTCTACCTGCTTTGAATTGTGAGATGTGCAGCTGTAGTGTACTATCAATATACTATGGATAGGATGTGGATAGAGAAAGTGAGTAGGAAATCGGGGTTTTCTTCTTGAAGAACATGATGAGGCACAGATCCGCTCACTCCCTTGTGTCTTAGTGATGTGGCTGAAACTGGGTTCCAACCTAGTGATGCCGAGTTGTGAATCTGTACGTCCGAGCTGAGAGATGCTATGAATGAACAAGGGTCAAAGTGCTTGGGTAGGTTTAACCCAGGAGAACACGTCGATGCTTAAGTCAGTAAGGTGACTTAGTGAGAATCCTTGAAAGAGTTCAAAAGATTCATTGCACATACCTTTCAGAGCGTCCCTGGGTTCTTTTTATAATTATTGGGCATTCAGGTGTCGTTGATCAACGTCTATGAGCTTTCTACAGAGCTGTTTCCCCAGTTTGAGGGAATAGTGGTCCGTTAGTTGCTAAATTCGCACGGCGGTTACAAGTCACCTACGGGTCTTGTGGTGCATGGTTCGACGAGTTGTTCCTGTAGTCTCAGTAATGGTACTAGATTAGATATGGCACACGTGACGGTTTCGAGTGAGCTGCTTGTTATCGGTGGGCCGAGCTCACCTCAGCTCAGCCGCATACCTGTTATAAACAGCCACGTGTTGAGCTGGCGAGCTGTCTTATTGAGTTGGATGTTGTATTGCTAACGGTGTCCATGTGTCCACCATCAAGTGGATTGGCCAAAATGCCCCTCATTAGAACAGTTTCAAAAGATCACGAGCAGCACCTTACATTGAGATGTAAATATAAAACTCTTCTCATCAATACATTGGTTTACTTCTCTAATAAGCTAGAGTGAGAAGATTTAAGACTCATAACAGTGTTCATTCTTCTAATAATATCACATAAACCATACATAATCATCCAAGAAAAAGAGGTTTCAAAGGAGACATCTTCAAAAGAACATATATCTTTTCATCTGGTTATTTAATATCATGTTCCATAAATAATGTAACTTACATATTAAAAAATATACTTTTGTTTTAAAACAAAATCAATTCATTTTTGCTTCTCAAAACAAAAACACAATTAAAAAATGTATTTTCGTTTTTATGCTAACGTGACAATTTTAATAACAAATGAAAACAAAAACATTAATGTTGTAGATACATGCACCCCTAATGTGTTAAAAGCTCATTTCGTCATGTTCTAGAGATTGAACTAGCCTACCATAGACCGGTCCACTGCTTCTATCATAATTATTCAGTAATGGGATCGATGCATGGTTGAAGTTCATGTGACCAAGCTATTTTTTTAGTGTACTATGATCAATCAAATGGCTTCTTCTGATTGATCTTCTGAGCATAAATCACGTTAGATATGGTCATAAATTGCAACTGTGAGTTTATAGCCCCAGACATAAGAGATCCTGGGTGTATTTGGCCTCACCCACCATCATATCTCAAATCAAACCACACCCACCACCATATCAGACCCCACCATAGATTCCGTAGATCAGAATTCATTCTCTTGAATGCCTAATTTATTGCACATTAATACAAGTTGGAATAAGTTGTGGATGTTGGCCTTTTGGGGCTGGATTAATTGTAAAACAAAATAAAGAAACAAAAAGGAAGAAGAAAAAGAATGAATTTGTGATTTTTAAAGCCCCAAAGCACAAAACCTCAATCATTAGCTATATATAATGATTCTAAAAGCAAGTATTACCAAATGTCCAAAACACTTGGCTCAATTTTGTTTTAATCATGGTTTTTAAAATTGGGAGAATCAGTCAGTAATCAGTTTTGTTTCACCTTAAAATTGTTTTTTTTGGCCAAAAATTGTAAATTGATTTAATCAATGACCCTGACTTAGGCAGTTGAATCATTAAAGGTCGACCTGAACAATGGTTTTTTATCCGTTATTTATTTATTTATTTATTAAGTTAGGACAGGCTATCCATTTGAATCGGACAATTAGACCATTCGATCCGAAAATCAGTCCCTAGAACGATTTCTTGTCCAGTTTTAAAAACCTTGGTTTTATTTTAAAGGAACAACCTCACCAATTGGATGGATTCCATGTAATGTGTTCATTATTGGAAGATGGGGAAGACTTTCATTTGGTCAATGTATTAGATAGTAACCATGTAGTGGTGTCCTTTGAATATAGAACATGTGGGCCATACAATGTAGTTTTTAAACCCATCTACAGCCCCTGTTCAACATAGAGACCGAATCTGCTGTGGATGTGCATATGAGGTGCCCATTTGTGAGGAGCAGATCCTGTCTTCTCAACATAATCCTAGACCGAGAAGAAAGAGAAAAGGCATGGTTTTTAAAAATGAACCGATGATTGAACCGGTTAGGGGTTTGGTTATTGGTTCAAACTGTCCGACCGTTTGACTTGAATGATTGGCCCGTTCTGACAAAAAAATAAAAAATTTAAAAGTTTGAAAAATGGTCAAAACCGTTCGAATGATTAACTAGCCGATTCAACAGTTTGCTGACCAAAATCAACGGTTTTTTAGGGAAAAAACGGTTTTAGAGAAAAATAGAACCAATCAAATGACCAATTCTTAATTTTTCTAGTCTGATTTTGAAAACAGTGAGAAAAAGGAAGTAAAAGACACCATCTTAGGTAGCCATGTTTAGGGATGTTGGTTACTTAGTGGATTGGATGAATTCAGCTTCGGTCAGTACAAGCCCATACTCACACGGTTCAAATAGTTTCTTGCAACCTTGCATTGCATTGAAAATATTTCCCCATGAAATAAAGTATATAAGTATAAAAATATTACTAATACAAGACTGCAAAGGCTGTTCTAATGGAATTTGCACTAACTAAGCCGGTACGTTAATCGAGATTTGGGTAGGTCATTAAGCGGTGAAGCTCCATTGAAATTATTTCTTGCATGCAAAATCCAGTACGTTAATCGAGATTTGCTCCTTACAGAGTGCTCTTCAGATTGACTTTAGAACACATCCCACCTTCCATTAGGATCATCTCCATGAATAACAACATCCAATTACGGGAGATGTTCCCTTGTGCCGCTGGTACTTTCTGTGAATTTGGTACGAAGAGTGCTATGTGAGGAAGAAATCCGGACTGCTCCGTGTCATAAATTTTGTCAGAAGAAAAAATGAAAACGCAAAAACCTCGCCTTTGCCCACTGCTTTTCGTAAAAATGGTACTATTCCAATGATTAGCTTCATGATTAAAGAAAGGAAGAATAGAAGGTGATGTTTGGCATCGATTATGATTTTTGAAAATCATTGCCATGTTGGAGCTAACAATGAAATTTCTGTTTGGTTGATGGATTTTGGTGATTTTTAGGAAATTTGTCAAAAATCCATTATTGAAATCAGACCTTTTTAAGGATCGTCTTTTTAGGTTATTTCCTGATTTGTAGCTAATGATTCCTATTTTTTGAGGATGGCATGGCATCTAACATGGCACTAAATAATAACTCCAAAATAAAAGTAACAAATTTACCAAATAGATTCAAAATGGAATTCTTAAAAAATCAACTTACATGGCATAA